ACTATTTACAAGAATTGTAAAAGGGCCATTTCACTCTGAGCAAGAAAGTGAGGTTTCCGTCTCCAAGGCTGGCAGGACAAGGTTGCTGGATACTTCCTAAACTAAAGCAGAATATTCAGAAAAACAGCAAGGATTAAGGTTCAGTAAAAAAAAAAGAAGTTAAACCAACGAGTGGCAGATTATAACCTCAGGAAATTTGAAGTACTAAATTTGGCTGCTCTGAGTGCAGTGTCTCACTTCTTAGCCAACCGTCCTGGCCCCTGGCCTCAACTGCTCCTTTCCTTCCCTTTCTCTTTTCCCTTGGATAATAGCCCATTTTAACATTCCCTCCCACTTTCACTGCAATAAAATCTCAACCACTCATCTGTCACCCCTTATCGGTAGCGCCATGGCGACTACCCTCTCAGCTTGGAGGAACTAGAAAAAGGAATCTCATACCCTTTAGTCCACCTCTTCTCCTTACACCTTTCAGCTTGTCTCCATGATCAGGGATTTTTCTTCCTCTGTGGGGAAAACGCATACACCTGTCTCCCCGCCAACTGGACAGGAACCTGTACTCTCGCCTCTCAGCCAATGTAGACATGGCCCCCAACAACCAATCTTTGCCTGTCCCCGTAACCCACCATATCCTACACAAAAGGGCAGTCCAGATAATCCCTCTCCTCATAACCCTGTCTCAGGACCTACAAGAAACATGTGGATACCCAAAAGGTACAAAACTGGGAAATCAAGAACCTCACCCCCAGGGTAACCTGTTCTCCCCTTTCAATCACTAGTGAGGCAACTGAGACCCCTAATCTTTTCCCCCCTAAAAATAACATCTAGGTCTCAGTGATCTAGCTCCAGGCCCAGAAAAGCAGCAAAACCAGACAAGTGACACTGTGACAACCTCAGGACCAGCTTTTACCTCCCCAAGTCACTCAACAGGACCGCTCTCAAGAGACTTCACCAACCAGCCTCTTGGGGAAATGATACTGCTGCACCCCTCATCCAGCCCACTAC